AGGTCTTGTTCTCAATACAAGAAATAATTACAACAAATTTAAAACCCTTATATCAAACTATATTTAGACAAGGTTCCTAAATCTCAGCTGAACTGTTTTGTACTGCAATGGGCCAAAACAACAGACTTAATGAAGTGTTTCCACAAATAGTTTGTGTAGAGTATCAAATTAACATCTAAGAAATAAATAGAAATGACAAGTTTCAGCTTCAGTTTAGAATTTTTTGACACCCTCTCATGGACAAAAATGAAATGACAGAGTAAAACAAGGAGCGATTTAGATTCCAGGTTTTCCTGAACTGTAATTAAAATTTATATGTTTCCACATGAATGATGGGGTAGAGAGATGGGTGGGCAATGTGACAGTGATGTTGACAATACCGCAAACTAACAAATGCACACAAGTGAGCCGTATTGTTTGTTTCTGTGCCAATACAATTTGGTGCAAGATGTGTAAATATAAAAAATATAAAAAATATGGAAGAACAATGCAAAAAATGTGATTAGTAAACATAGCAGATGGTAAAAGCAATAATTTCCCCCCAGGAATGTATTGTTTTAAGTACAACTGCACTCACTTAATATTTAAAAAAATTGACTTTATGTTAGACTAGTCAAGACTATGTGCAGGAGTATTTGCTCCTGTGTGGTTTGTGTTGTTTGTGTTTCCTCTTTGCAGGACAAAGAGGCCCAAAAGGATGGAGAGCCCAAAGTGAGCGCAGGAGATGTCGTGTACGTGAAGGTGCCTTGGAGGAGGAGAGACCACCTTTGTGAAGGAGGCCTGTACATGGTGTAAACATCCCCAAGGACAGAGATGGCTAGGAGCTGATCCTGATTCAATAAGGAGAAGATGTGATCCAATTGATGAGGAGGGAGTTCGAGTGAAGCTGAGGCTCCCCTTGATGACAAAACTGATTATGACCCAGCTGTGTTCTCATCTATCTGACCCTCATGAGGAGGTCCTGAGGTCGGTCATGCATAGAGAAGTCGAGAGCGAGACATTGCAGCCGGTGAGGATGAACGAAAGCAAGTGGTGGCAGAGTGAAGCTGCAAGGAACTGAACTGACCAAAGGACAATGGACTTGGACATTATATTTTATATATTCATACTGTACACAATTCATGCATAGCAGTTAGTTATCTTAGCAGTTAGTATCTTGTCATTCATATAGTCACTACTTAATTGTCACTGAGTATTTTCATATTCGCAGCTCATCTCTTAGTAGAAGATTTGTGGCTAGAGCTTCTATATAAGTAGTTTAGTTACATTACAAATGTCTTGTGTTACAGTTATGTTATATTTTGAATTCAGTTTCAGGATTTACACTACGTCTGGTTCCTACAATCAGGTTCACTGCAGGCCTCGTTGGTGATCGCCCAAAAGAAGACGGTTTTCCCCAGCATTCGTTATCATTGGGGTTTTTACGTCTCAAAAGGAAAGGATGGGGGTCATCCAGAAATTTTGCCCGTCAGGGTTTTTGTCTGGATTTGGAGTGAACAGAATTGTAGCAGAA